GGTGCGCCGCGAGTCCCCAACATAATCCCCCCTGCCCAGTAAAGGAGCCCGCCGCGAGGCGTGCTCTTTCACTGGGCATTCGGCTCTTAAACGCCATGACAGGGATTCGCGTGCGCAATGGTTACCCGGCCATTAGCTTCATTTTGAAAGTTTTACGTCAGAGGGTTTGTGAGAGGGTCCCTTATCTTTTGATACGTGCGCTTATTTGAATTCTGAAGTGATCAGTTTCTGAATTCAAATATTTTTTATGATCTATTCAACATCTCATTCAATATATCACAGTCACAGGTTCTCGCGTTCATTTTGATCGATAGATTCGCGTGTCTTGTCCGATTTTTCTAATTTTTTCTTTTCGCGAGTTTTCTCATAGAACTTTTTTCCGCCGATTTCACAATCTTTCTTGTTGAAGTGTTCTTCTAAGTCTTCCTTGAAGTTTTCGAGTTTTTCCGCGATGGCTGGGCTTGATGAAGGGCTGATGGATGTGGCTACCGGTTTGTCTTCTTCGGATCTTCTTGGTGATGTTCCTGACGAAGGTTTGTCGTCTTTTCTTTTTTCACCTTTTTTTCTTTGCTGAGTGTAATTTCAACTCTTTTTCTTTTGGCGAGTGTAATTCCAACTCTCATATTTTCTTTTGGCGAGTGTAATTTCAACTCTCATGTTTTCTTTTGGCGAGTGTATTTTCAACTCTGATCTTGTAATTCTTTTTCTCTCACATGAAGTATTTCCTTTTAATTTTTTGAGCTCAATCATACAACTTCAAGCTTGTTTTCATTTTATTTTCTTCTTATTTTCATATCATTTTTTGTCATTTTCATAAATTTCTTATTCTTTTGATTTTTCTTTTGATTTGTGACTTATTTGGTTCGAAACCCATTTCAGATGTGAATCTGTTGTTAGGTGAGCTGTACATCTCCGAACGTCAGGAGCAGCCGGAACTAGAGGAACGGACCATCAAGTTTCCTTCGTTGGCTTCGGAACTCGTAAAAACTTTGGAGACTGCTGATCTGAGGACCTGGAAACGTCTAGTGGAACTATGTAGTGTTGTGAAAAGTGATTTTCTTTATGAGAAGACTGTTGAGGGGGCACGCGTTTCGATCAGTAGGAAGAGAGCTCGTCTAGCTTTAGTGGAAGAAGAGCATGCGTTATTAAGTCGTTCGGAGCATGATTTAAATGTGGATCTTAGTGCTCGTCGTCAAATATTACATCAATCTGAACTCGCATGCAACACAGCTCTGACTAAGTTGAACGATTCTTTTAAAATTATCAACTTTTGTGATCGCGAGACTTTTTTGCGATCTTTTTCGAATGAGCGGACTTTTTTCTTAAACATTCTTGATGGTGACTATCTGAGAACTTTTGGTGAGTTGTAAGGATATTTTTGTAAAGGACCTTTTGATAAAAATCTCTTTTTATAATTTATCAGACGACCATTGTGAAGCAAGGATTGGTGGCGTTACTCTGAACATTGGTGGATTCGAATCCAATTTCTTCTAAACCACGCCTGTAAACTGGTAAGGGTGCGGTCGCCTGAATAGACACAGTCTCTTCCCTCGACTCTAAAGCCTTCCTAGAAGTTTGCTAGTAAACCTTCAATTAAGACTTAGAAGACATTTAGGTGTGGATTATTTATAAACTTTTTTTATTTTTTAGAATTTTTGTTTTAATCCCTTTTTTTATAATATATCCTTAGTGGATTTGGGACCAAGTGAGGAAGTGGAGAGAATCCCTTGTACCCCTGCAGTTGTTGATGAGATGGCTGGTACTTCAAGAAATGAAACTGGGGCAATCGTTGGTCTTGGAGATGAGGAGATTCTTCAGTTTAATTTGGGACTGGATTTAAATGAAGGCGACCGCCCATTTCGTATGTTTTTTGAAAAGCTGGTACTTCAAGAAATGAAACTGGGGCAATCGCTGGTCTTGGAGATGAGGAGATTCTTCAATTTAATTTGGGACTGGATTTAAATGAAGGCGACCGCCCATTTCGTATGTTTTTTGAAACGTTTTAAATGACGAATTGTTATTAATTATCTCGTTATAATAGGTCATTGGAGTTCAATCTTTGAAGTATCAAAATTCATGCCCGACAATTCTCCGACGTATTTCAATAATGTTGGGAAATCAATGAAGTTAACTGATGCTGTTTTCAAGGAGCTGAAGTCCAATCAAGTTAAGGTTCCGTTGCCAGTTCCAGGGACTTTGGTTGCTGATTTCGACTTTAGTACCGCAAAGTTGGATTTTATCACGGAATCGAGAAAAAATTGGAAGAGAAGGGCTGTTCTTATCATTGCAACGTCTTTATGCAGTTCTTTTCATTTGCGTGGAAAAGATTTTACTTTTCGTACCCGTATTCGTGCTGATCAACGGACTGAGCGTGCTGTTCCAAATTTTTCGCATTTGGTTGAGGATTTAGATGTCGACATTTACCAGGTATTTTTGATAATGTTAATTTTTGAAATATTGCTAATATTATTGAACAATATTTTTCTTTTGATATATTTTCAGATTTCTGGTTCCGTCCCCCCGGTTTCTTGCCGATGAATGCTTTTTGATGGACATCTTGTGCCACAGGGTGTATGATTTTGATCAACGTGGTGAGAAGGCCTCTGCTACATCGATGGTCATCATTAAAAATTGTTCTTATCGGGGCTGGGTTATTTTTAAAACCCCAACTGGTTTTTATGTTGTTGGTAAGCAAGGTCAAGAAGGCTTCTGCTACATCAATGGTCATCATTAAAAATTGTTCTTATCGGGGTTGGGTTATTTTTAAGACCCCAACTGGTTTTTATGTTGTTGGTAAGCAAGGTCTGAGATGGATCTTAGAAAAAGATGTTGTGAGATCTGTAACTGATGGTTTTGTTTGACATTTTTGTTTTTGAGCTTACCATTTATGTTACCTGTCTGCTGATGTGCCTCATTTTTTGTGAAACAAAAGAATTTTTTGCATTTTTTGTTTGTTTGAACGATGTATCTCCCATTTTTTATCGAAACGTTGTGAACTACTTTGATTCGTGATGATGATCTTTTTGAAATGTCGTGATGATTGTGAACTTTTTGTTTTTTGTGACTTCGAACGGGTATTATGATCGAATTTGTTATGTTCAAAAAATTTTTTATGATGCATTTTGCACCGGAATGAATTCTTTTTCACTTTGAAAATATGTTTTATTTTGTAAACGATTTTGTATTTATATAGTTTACCAGTATTGGAAGGGTGGTTGGATGTTCTCCTTTTAATTTGTCTTGTTGAGGTACATCCATTTCTAATGGTATTAAGTTTTTTATTGACTGATTTGTCAAAATTACAGGGAGGGACTCATCTTGTGAGCTTTTAGTTGGTGTTCCAGTGATTATGTCTACTGCTCTTATTATGTTGTCTCTTGGACTTCTATAAATTTTTAAAATTCTAGCTAATTTCCATTTCAATCTTTCAAAAGGTGAATCTCCTTTGAATGTTTGTCTCTTGAGTAATACAACTTGGCCTTCTTTTGGTTCTAATTGTGTATTCTTTCCCAATTTTTCTGTAAATTTTCTAAGGTTTTTTATGTATCCATCTTCAAACATTAGCCATAATTTCTTGTGTATATTATATCTAAATAGAGCCTCTTTTGTAAATTTACCTGTATCATCTATTTCTAAAAATTTTGATAAATCAGGCCCTGATTCAAAGGGTCTTGTTCTCCAATCTGCTTTATGTATATGTAATTGTAAATTTACCTGTATCATCTACCTCTATAAATTTTGATAAATCAGGTCCTGATTCAAAAGGTCTTGTTCTCCAATCTGCTTTATGTATATGTAGGAACAGGGATGGTGTTACTACCATTGGTGCGTCTCTTTCTGCAGACTGATATGTTAGGGGTCTTGTGTTAATTGCTGATTCTATAAATTTTACAGATGCATTTAATTTATTGTCATTACTGTTACCATATGGTGGTATAGGAGATCGTATAGATAGAAAATAATGGGAGTAGTAAGAAAGCATTTTAGGAGGGGTGGTACCCCGAGAACGTCGTAATTTCACGGTAAAACAAGAAAACTTTCAAGTTTTGATTTTTGCTTGGTGTTGTTCATGGTTCATTATTTTCCTCCATGCCGCATGGAATGTTTTAGCATTATCTGATATTATTAATCTTGGATTAATTTCTCTACTATAACAGAAGGTTTCAAAGGCTCCTATAAAATGTTCTAAATCCACTTTTTTTACTATTTCTAAATGAACTGCTCTAGTGAGTGTGCAAGTGAATACACATATTGATATTGTTTGAGATGGGATAGATTTTATGATTTTTGGTCCTTTTGATCTCTGTTTCTTTTGATTTGCATTATGTATACTATTTCTAAATGAACTGCTCTAGTGAGTGTGCAAGTGAATACACATATTGATATTGTTTGAGATGGGATTGATTTTATGATTTTTGGTCCTTTTGATCTTTGTTTCTTTTGATTTGCATTATGTATATTTTTATTTTCTTTTTCAAAATTTTGCGTTTTAAATGGTCCTACAAAATCTATTCCAATTTTTTCAAATGGAATCATTCCTGTATATCTGTAATCTGGAAGTGGTGCTTGCTTTGCTTGAAAAGGTTTTGCATCAAATCTTCTACAAATTGGACATTCTCTTTTAACTTCTTTGGCTAGATTTCTGCTTCCTGGTATCCAATATTTGAAAGCTAAGTGTACGAGTAATTGATTTGTTGAAGGATGTTTTAATTTCTTATGATGATGTCTGAAGAAGGCTTTTAGTATGTTACAATTGTCTTCTTTTACTATTTCTAAATGAACTGCTCTAGTGAGTGTGCAAGTGAATACACATATTGATATTGTTTGAGATGGGATAGATTTTATGATTTTTGGTCCTTTTGATCTCTGTTTCTTTTGATTTGCATTATGTATGTTTCTACTTTCTTTTTCAAAATTTTGCGTTTTAAATGGTCCTACAAAGTCTATTCCAATTTTTTCAAATGGAATCATTCCTGTATATCTGTAATCTGGAAGTGGTGCTTGCTTTGCTTGAAAAGGTTTTGCATCAAATCTTCTACAAATTGGACATTCTCTTTTAACTTCTTTGGCTAGATTTCTGCTTCCTGGTATCCAATATTTGAAAGCTAAGTGTACGAGTAATTGATTTGTTGAAGGATGTTTTAATTTTTTATGATGATGTCTGAAGAAGGCTTTTAGTATGTTACAATTGTCTTCTTTTTTTGGAACTGGTAAGTATATTAAAGATTTTCTTACTGGATGATCTGGTGGTATATCAGTCTTTTCATCTATCATTTGTCTACTTTCTGACATAATTAGCTGTTTTATAGGGTCCCAGGCTAGGTCTGGCCTATTTGGAATCATTATTCCTTTACTTATGAACTTCCATTCTTTGTGAAAGTAAAACTTTTGTAGAAGTCTTAATGCCTGATATTCTGCTAGTTCAATTTCATAGTCTGTGAAGTCTGATTTAAATGATTTAAAGGGCAAGAATAGATCTGATGATGTTAATTTGTTATCTTTTTTATATAATCTGTAGAAATAGAATGTTTTTATTCTAGATATAGCGCAAATTCTTTTTGTTATTTGCTTCCATGTTGTTGTGTTTTTAAATATGTACTCAATTGTATTTTTTGTTTGTATGAATTCAATTTCTTCTACTTTGGTAGTCATAACTGTTAATCTTATAGACAATATTTTTAGTTTCACAGGCCATTCTGATTTATTTGCTAACCAAGTTGGTCCTTGAAACCAAAGTTTATTGTTTGTATGAATTCAATTTCTTCTACTTTAGTAGTCATAACCGTTAGTCTTATTGATAATATTTTTAGTTTCACAGGCCATTCTGATTTATTTGCTAACCAAGTTGGTCCTTGAAACCAAAGTTTTGATTTTAATAATTTGTCTGGACACATGCCTCTTGATGCTAAATCTGCTGGATTACATTGTCCTGGTACATGTTTCCATTGATGCTTTTTTGTTACTGATGATATTATATCTGTTCTTGCTCTTATGTATGATATGTTTCTAGGATTTTCTAATTGAATCCAGTTTAATGCAATTTCTGAATCTGTCCAAAAATATATTTCACAGTGATGTAAATTTAATGCTTTTTTAATTTCTTCTACTAGTTGTGCTACTATGCATGCAGCTGTTAATTCTAGTCTATTTATTTTTATTGGTTTTGGATTTGATTCTATTGATTGTCTAGTTTGTTTGGGTATTAATCTTGATTTTCCCCAAAGTAATTGAACTTTTGTTTCTTTTTCAGATTTTGATACATAATATATAGCTACACCCATTGCTAACCCACTTGAGTCACTAAATGCGTGTATTTCTGAACTTATTTCATTTTTTACTTTTACTTTTCTTGGTAGTTTTATTTGTTTAATTTTTTCTAGTTCTTCTGCTAAATTTTATAATTTAACTTTTGATTTTACAATGTTTTTTCTTTTGATATACTTTCAGATTTCTGGTTCCGTCCCCCCGGTTTCTTGCTGACGAATGCTTCTTAATGGACATCTTGTGCCACAGGGTATATGATTTTGATCAACGTGGTGAGAAGGCCTCTGCTACATCGATGGTTATTATTAAAAATTGTTCTTATCGGGGCTGGGTGATTTTTAAAACCCCGACTGGTTTTTATGTTGTTGGCAAGCAAGGTCTGAGATGGATTTTGGAAAAAGATGTTGTGAGATCTGTAACGGATGGTTTTGTTTGATACTTTTTCTTTTTTGAGCTTACCATTTATGTTACCGATCCGTTGATGTGCCTCTTTTTTGTATGCGAAAGAATTTCTTGCATTTTTGTTTGAACGATGTATCTCTTTTTTTATCGAAACGTTGTGAACTATTTTGATTCGTGATGATGATTTTTTTTTTTTTTTGAGATATCGTGATGATTTTTTGAGAACTTTTGTTTTTGTGACTTCGAACGGGTATTATGATCGAATTTGTTATGTTCAAAATTTTTGTATGATGCATTTTGCACCGGAATGAACTCTTTTTCACTTTGAAAATATGTTTTATTTTGTAAAAGATTTTGTGTTTATATAATTCACCAGTATTGGAAGGGTGGTTGGATGTTCTCCTTTTAATTTGTCTTGTTGAGGTACATCCATTTCTAGTGGGATTAAGTTTCTTATTGACTGATTTGTTAAAATTACAGGGAGGGACTCATCTTGTGGGCTTTTAGTTGGTGTTCCGGTGATTATATCTACTGCTCTTATTACATTGTCTCGTGGACTTCTATAAATTTTTAAAATTCTAGCTAATTTCCATTTCAATCTTTCGAAGGGTGAATCTCCTTTAAATGTTTGTCTCTTTAGTAATACAACTTGGCCTTCTTTTGGTTCTAATTGTGTATTCTTTCCCAGTTTTTCTGTAAATTTTCTAAGGTTTTTTATGTATCCATCTTCAAACATTAGCCATAGTTTCTTGTGTATATTATATCTGAATAGGGCCTCTTTTGTAAATTTACCTGTATCATCTACCTCTATAAATTTTGATAAATCAGGTCCTGATTCAAAAGGTCTTGTTCTCCAATCTGCTTTATGTATATGTAGGAACAGGGATGGTGTTACTACCATTGGTGCATCTCTTTCTGCAGACTGATATGTTAGGGGTCTTGTGTTAATTGCTGATTCTATGAATTTTACTGATGCATTTAATTTATTGTCATTGCTGAATGGTATACCACCATATCCTCTAGCATATCTATCTTTTATAACCCTCATCATTCTTTCGTAAAATCCTCCCCACCATGGGGCTCTTGCAGCATTAAAGTGCCATTTTGTTCTTTTGAAAGTTCTTTTAATTTTTGCTTGGTGTTGTTCATGGTTCATTATTTTTCTCCATGCCGCATGGAATGTTTTAGCATTATCTGATATTATTAATCTTGGATTAATTTCTCTACTGTAACAAAATGTTTCAAAGGCTCCTATAAAATGTTCTAAATCTACTTTCTTTACTATTTCTAAATGAACTGCTCTAGTGAGTGTGCAAGTGAATACACATATTGATATTGTTTGAGATGGGATTGAGTTTATAATTTTAGGTCCTTTTGATCTTTGTTTCTTTTGATTTGCATTATGTATGTTTCTATTTTCTTTTTCAAAATTTTGCGTTTTAAATGGTCCTACAAAATCTATTCCAATTTTTTCAAATGGAATCATTCCTGTATATCTGTAATCTGGAAGTGGTGCTTGCTTAGCTTGAAAAGGTTTTGCATCAAATCTTCTACAAATTGGACATTCTCTTTTAACTTCCTTGGCTAATAAAGACGAAGGACCATAGGTTATAAATTTCCGGTTCACATGCTCATTAACTAAACAACTTCCTACAAAATTAAAAAATACTACTACAGACTTCTTCCGAAAATCATACAATGTTAACAGAAGAAAATTCGGAACTGGTAAGTATATTAAAGATTTTCTTACTGGATGATCTGGTGGTATATCAGTCTTTTCATCTATCATTTGTCTACTTTCTGACATAATTAGCTGTTTTATAGGGTCCCAGGCTAGGTCTGGCCTATTTGGAATCATTATTCCTTTACTTATGAAACTGGATGATCTGGTGGTATATCAGTCTTTTCATCTATCATTTGTCTACTTTCTGACATAATTAGCTGTTTTATAGGGTCCCAGGCTAAGTCTGGCCTATTTGGAATCATTATTCCTTTACTTATGAATTTCCATTCTTTGTGAAAGTAAAACTTTTGTAGAAGTCTTAATGCCTGATATTCTGCTAGTTCAATTTCATAGTCTGTGAAGTCTGATTTAAATGATTTAAAGGGCAAATTCCATTCTTTGTGAAAGTAAAACTTTTGTAGAAGTCTTAATGCCTGATATTCTGCTAGTTCAATTTCATAGTCTGTGAAGTCTGATTTAAATGATCTAAAGGGCAAAAATAGATCTGATGAAGTTAATTTGTTATCTTTTTTATATAATCTATAAAAATAGAATGTTTTTATTCTAGATATAGCGCAAATTCTTTTTGTTATTTGCTTCCATGTTGTTGTATTCTTAAATATGTACTCAATTGTATTTCTTGTTTGTATGAATTCAATTTCTTCTACTTTAGTAGTCATAACCGTTAGTCTTATTGATAATATTTTTAGTTTCACAGGCCATTCTGATTTATTTGCTAACCAAGTTGGTCCTTGAAACCAAAGTTTTGATTTTAATAATTTGTCTGGACACATNTTTGCTAACCAAGTTGGTCCTTGAAACCAAAGTTTTGATTTTAATAATTTGTCTGGACACATGCCTCTTGATGCTAAATCTGCTGGGTTACATTGTCCTGGTACATGTTTCCATTGATGCTTTTTTGTTATTGATGATATTATATCTGTTCTTGCTCTTATGTATGATATGTTTCTAGGATTTTCTAATTGTATCCAATTTAATGCAATTTCTGAATCTGTCCAAAAATATACTTCACAGTGATTTAAATTTAATGCTTTTTTGATTTCATCTACTAGTTGCGCTACTATGCATGCAGCTGTTAATTCTAATCTATTTATTTTTATCGGTTTTGGATTTGATTCTATTGATTGTCTAGTTTGTTTGGGTATTAATCTTGATTTTCCCCAAAGTAATTGAACTTTCGTTTCTTTTTCAGATTTTGATACATAATATATTCGATGTGGGTAACGATTGGGTGAACTCAGTGATTTACGCACATAAAGACTTGAATAAAGTAAAAAATGAAAATGGAAAGAACCATCAAAATAAACAAATTAAAAAAGATCAAGAAGACGATTTAAAATAAATTCTTGTGTTTCTTTTGGATTTAGTTTTTGATCCCAATCTGCATTTGGGTGTTTGTCATTGTATTTTTGTAGAATTAATTTTGCTTCTGTTAACCTTCCTGTTCTCGACGGACACCCCAGTATACCAGGTCTATGATTTGGATGACGAACAGAGGAAGAATACCTAAATAAAAAATGTTTAAATTGGTGTAAAAGATAACTTCCACTATAAAGTAGACACTTTGGATCATATGTTATACCTAGGATTTTATATGGTTTTAGTGTTTCTTCTGTTTGTTGTTGTACAGGGTATGTTCTAATTTTTGTTAGTTGAAATGATCCCATAGATAGTGATTTTTCTGCTTTTGATAATTTATCTTTTATTTGATCAATGTTGTTTCCTGTTACAAGTACATCATCTACATATGTGTTGTTTTCTAGCTGATGTTGTTCTTCTAATGTGATGTATCCTTTTTTGTGTGCTTCCTTATATAAATATCTTACGCTTGCATTTAATATAAAGGGTGCACAGTTTATTCCCCATGGTAATCTAAGCCATCTATAAAATTGAGGTTTATAAGTTCCATCGGATTGTTTTTGTGGCATTCTAATGACTAATAACCATTGATCTTCTTCACTTAATTGTACCTGTACAAATGCCTTTTTTACATCTGCTATTCCAAATGAATCTGAAAATCTTAATCTTAATAACATGTGAGCTATATTTGGTAACAATTTTGGACCTTGATTAAATAAATCGTTACATGATGCTTTGTTTTTATCAGCTGCATTGCCTGCTATTACAACTCTTAGAGGTGTGGTAGGATGGTCAGGTCTTGGGTGTGGTACCACACCATCAAGACACATACCACATGGAGAAAGTAAATTAAGAAGATTACTTCACCCACACTATTAAGGTAGAAACTAGGTCAGTAACTGTTTAACAACCATCCGTAGACGGTAACCCCCACCTTTTTCTAATAATCTGATTACGGATGAACTTCTTTGTTCTCCTGTTTTTAGATTGTTATTGCAGAATTGTGGAAAGCATGGATTTTTTGGAATAGGTGCTATGACTCTTTTGTTTTCAATTTTGATTTGTTTGAAATATTCTGATAATTGTAGTTCGGATGTGTCATTATCTTTGTCTGTTCCGAATATATCAAAATAGTCGAGTCTTAATTGTCTCAATATTACTCTGTTTAATTCATAATCATCAATTGTTTGTTCAAGTGATTTTATATACATATTTTTGGGAGTGAACATTGGTATATCCTCTGGTGTTTCATGCCAGTATCCTCTGGGTATTAATCCAAAAGGGGTATTTGTTAGATGGAACCAAGGATCATCATATAATGGGTATTTGAATGGTGTATGTAATAATACAAGATCCTTTCCCCCCAGTATTAAATCAAAAGATACTTCTTGTGTATACAATATTCTAGGATCAGCAAACAGATGATGAAAATCTTTTAAGAATGTAACAACACTTGGGTTTCTTCCCGTCCAGTGTGATTTTAATGGTACAACTATTGCTTCAGTGTTGTGTGTATAATGTGGGTGCATATGAGATTTTAATACTAGATTAACAACTGTTTGTGATTGTAGAAGGCTTGCTCCTTGGCCTACACCTGATATTTCATATGTTTTTTGTATTTTATATGTTTTTAAATTCATTCTTTTGACAGCGCTTTCAGTTATCAAATTAATTTGTGCTCCTGTATCTAATAATATATGTATTATTTGATTGCTTTGTGCACATGTAGCTTTTGATGTTTCAAGAAAACAGCATTTTGGGCTACTAAAACCCAAGCTTAATGATATTGATACCTTTTCTAGTCATGTATTTGATGCATTGGATGCACTGGATGACGAGTTCTGTGAATTTGCTTGTCCATTATTTTGTTGATTTTGATTATTTGAGGGATTTCCTGAATTTGGGCAACAACAATGAACCGATGCACTAGCTTGTTGATTATTTCCTTTTGAATTTTTGTTATTCATTTGGTTTAATCTTCCTTGGAATTCATTAAATAATTGTTGTAATGAGTCATTTGATTCATTATTTTCTTGTTTGATATTATTATTATTGTTATTGTTATTATTATTATTATATCTGTTTTGATTTTGATTTCTTTTGTCATATGGTTGGTAACGGTTCCCTTGATTGTTGTAACCACCTCTTCCTCTGGAGTTGTTATATCTGTTATTTCTCCAATTATTTGTATTGTTATTATTGGCATTTCTACATAGGATCGTATGGTGCTTTAATCTACAGTTTTTGCATGTCCATTTGCTGATACAGTTATATGCCCTATGGCCTGCTTTTAGACAGTTGTGACATAAAATTAATTTGTGCTCCTGTATCTAATAATATATGTATTATTTGGTTGCTTTGTGCACATGTAGCTTTTGATGTTTCAAGAAAACAGCATTTTGGGCTACTAAAACCCAAGCTTAATGATATTGATACTTTTTCTAGTCATGTACTCGATGCATTAGATGCATTGGATGATGAGTTCTGTGAATTTGCTTGTCCATTATTTTGTTGATTTTGATTATTTGAGGGAGCTCCTGAATTTGGGCAACAACTATGAACCCATGCACTGGCTTGTTGATTATTTCCTTTTGAATTTTTGTTATTTATTTGATTTAATCTTCCTTGGAATTCATTAAATAACTGTTGTAGTGAGTCATTTGATTCATTATTTTCTTGTTTGATATTATTATTGTTATTGTTATTATTATTATTATATCTATTTTGATTTTGATTTCTTTTGTCATATGGTTGGTAACGGTTTCCTTGATTGTTGTAACCACCTCTTCCTCTGGAGTTATTATATCTGTTATTTCTCCAATTATTTGTATTGTTATTATTGGCATTTCTACATAGGATTGTATGGTGCTTTAATCTACAGTTTTTGCATGTCCATTTGCTGATACAGTTATATGCCCTATGGCCTGCTTTTAGGCAGTTGTGACATAAGTTCTTTTGATTTGCAACTTCTTGTTTCTTTTGTAATGGTGCTTGGCAGTGAAAGAAAGGATGATTGCCTTCACAAAATAGACATGCTTTCTTCTGATTTTCTTGTGTGGTATTTAATTTTTCTTTTTGTGCATTGTTTTTATTTTTGCTTTCTGTTTTTATTTTTTCTTCATCATCATCGCTTTCTTCTTCTTGGATTTTTTCTAATTTTACTGATACTTCAGTGGTTTTTGGTAATTCTTTCTTAATGTGTATGGCAGGTTCACTTTTGATTTCGGATATTTGTTTCTTTTGATTCTTTGGTTCCTCTTTAATCATATTTACACTTACTTCAAAAAGGGATAGTTTTTCATTATAAGAATCAGTTTGCTTTTCAATTCTATCACTAAAATCACTAGTGTACCATCCATATTGTTTTTCTGGATTTTCTCACCATTCTTCTAATATTTTCCGGTTTAAAACTCCAGAATTAATTTTTGTAGTAATGTAATTTTCAAGATTTGATATTATAGGACCTTGGTTTAAATGATCTAATACTGTTGGCCATATTTTAGCGTGAACCCTTTTTAGATCAACTTGTAGATTTACAAGCAATGCCATCTGTTTTTTGACTTCTTCTGAATAGGAGACACATTGTTCAAAGGTTTGATCTGGTTGTGGCAAGTTTTCTATTTCTTGAAGTATTGTTCTTATTTGTTGTGATACGTTTCCATAATTATCAAATAATATACGTAGCGCTTCTAAATATGCTGTATCATCGTTTCTTCCTCTATAATGTTTATTTTTTTGCAGTACATCTCCGTCTAAGTGCATCATAAGTATCTGAATTCTTTGTATTGGTTCCAATTGATCTATTGGAGCTTCGTGGACTTTTTTGAATTGTGTCCATACTTGATCAAAGGAGACTTTATCATCGGCTGTGCCCTCAAATTTAAAATCTTTAACAAAAGTTTTTTCATAATCTTTGATGTATGTTTGCTGTTGATCGTTTGGGAATTTGATTCTTGATCCTTTTCCGTAATTGTTTAATTCACTTCTTAAAGATCCTTTTAACAGACTCATATCTATGCCAAATTCTTTTTCTAAGGAAATTGGTGTGTCGTTATTTGGACGTGTTTCTTTTTGCATTTCTTTTGATATTTGAAATTCTTCTTGTAGTTTAATTTTTTCTTTGTGATTGCTTTTGATATTTTCGATTTTTGTATTTTGATTATTTTGATTTTCAATTTTTTCTCGTACTATTTCGTGAGTTTCTTCCTTTTGATTAGCTTTTGATTTTTTGATGGTTTTTGAGGATTCTTGTATAGTTTGTTCTATTTTTGGATCTATTTCTGGTATATCGATCGATAGAATTTCCATTTTATTTGGGCGTAATGTTATCCAATTTTCTATTAATGTATCTACTTGACATCTTATTAGTTTTTGCATATCTTTTTGGAGAATTTTAAATTGCTTTAAGTCATCGTTTTCTAGGATAGAGACATTTAGAGACAGAAGCTCAGTTGTTGTTTCTATAAAGTCTTGGAGGATATCTGTAAAGATTTCTTCTTGATTCTCCGGATCAGAGTCAACAAACGTTCAATGTATCTACTTGACATCTTATTAGTTTTTGCATATCTTTTTGTAGAATTTTAAATTGCTTTAAGTCATCGTTTTCTAGGATAGAGACATTTAGAGACAGAAGCTCAGTTGTTGTTTCTATAAAATCTTGGAGGATATCTGTAAAGATTTCTTCTTGATTCTCCGGATCAGAGTCAACAAACGTTCTATCTGCTGCTATAATGCCTCTTATTATTCTCAAGAGAAGGGATATTATATTTAGTTTTTGCTGTTGAACATATTCTTCATTATATTCGTTTTTTAATTTCTTTAAATCTGCATTATCGGAATGTTCGGATTCTTTTTCTTCTATTGGAAATGGTTCTGGTAAATTAAAGTCATCTTGATTTTGTTCTATTTCGGAATTTGAATCTGAATTATATTGGGCAATTACAGTAGAAGGTGTATTTAAGGTTTCGGGAATATTTTCATCATCATGATTTAAAGCAATTTTTTCTTCTTTTTTAGGATTTTTTGGTCTTCCTCTTTTGATAGTTTTTTCGGGAATCTCATTAGGGGGGTTCAAACCTTGGTTTTGTTGGCCATCGACGGGATGGCTTGTCGTGGCTCGGCGTTTGACACCTTGTCCTCGAACCATTTTCGTAGACTCCCTTTCTTTCGCGCAAATTCAATTGAAAAAAATATTTGGGTTTGGGACACAAACTCAAAGTATGGGAAGCGTGTTAAAGATTTGAAGAAAGAAATGTATAGAGAAAGATTTTTTTTTTTTTTTTTTTTTTTTTTTTTTTTTTTTTTTTTTTTTTTTTTTTTTTTTTTTTTTTTTNAAAAAGATTTTTTTTTTTTTTTTTTTTTTTAGTGAAAGAAGGAAGTTATTTTTATTTTACTGAATCGAATTTTTTACGCTCTGCTACCAGTTTGTTGGTGACTGAAGTCACTACAACAAGAAAAAGCTAGGCTGTAAAGAAAGAGATTAGTTGATAAAACGATTTCAAGAAAACACAGAATCAGCCCGGGACAGGGGCCGGGAATTCATGGTGGAATCCCTATTTAAAAGTTAAAGTATATTTTGAAAGGTCCCAAAATTTAGATAGTGAACAAAACAGACAACACAGATTTTTAGATGATTTTCGAACAAGATGTTTTTCAGAAAAGACCTCTCAAAAAACCTCTGATCACGCTGCGGCGGCAACAAAACGAGAACTGTGTGTTTTTGATGAAAGCAAGGGGTATTTATTGATTTCTTTTCCTGCTCTTGATCAAGGGAGTTTGATCAAGGGCAGGGAAATCTCGAAGGCCTGCCTAACCGGCTGTTTAGCCATTAGCTTCTGCAGAACCGCGGTTGTCTGCAGAACCGCGGTTCTGTCTGCAGATGGCGCCAAGAAAGTTTAATTTTTTCTTGGGGAGGGGAAACCGTTGACGGATTTCGTCCGTTTTTTATGCGTGGGTGGTTTTCCACCCGATTAGATATTTTTAATTGATTTTTTATTCTGGGTGCGCCGCGAGTCCCCAACATAAGCTGTGGCGTGGGCAGGACTCTATCCTGCTGGCACCACACAGCACCTTGGCCTGGCGCTGGTTTGCGACGCGACAGAAGGTCACTCTTGCAACATTCTTAAATATTATTTATTCCTGAGTCTCTCTCAGTCCGCTGCCAATTATTATTATTCCAATTGTTATCTGATATTCTTATTGTGTGCTGTGTTCTGTGAATCAATTAAGCTTGGGGTTAAATAAATATACTTTATTTTTTTCTTTGGGATTTTGTAAACAAGATCCCTAGCTGAACCCCCCAGCTGATTAAAGTGTTTTATTTCCGAATTCCGAATTCCGCACCTTTTTGCACCATTTTTGGTGACAATTTGCGTATGGTATAATATGAATCAAGCTTGTTTTTTTCTCTTATTATGGGCTTCTTTCCAGGTCAGAAACTGATTCGTGTGTGATTTTCTTCTGCACTGTTTTTTTTCTGTAGCTTGAAGCTGAGTGAAAATGTCTCATTCCATTTTTGAGGGACTTTTGTCTAATTTTTGGTCAACAGGAGAACCAATTAAATACATGTCATCGATAATTTTATTGCGTTCCCTTTTCATCCCCTTTCACCTAGCAGACGACGCTCCGAATAAAGTCACGTCGTCTGTCTCACGGTTCCACCGCGTGATCTCCTGCGAGTCACGTGCCACAAGGTTACGCAACCTCACCTAGAATGAGNTCCCTATTCAGAAGGTTCTCCTCAATGTATTCAGTTCCCCTTTATATATAATTTGATCCTGCGCAACTGTCCCCTTCATCGGCGAGACCCCGCGTACACAAATCACCGGCGCGAAACAATAACAGAAATTACGACCGCAATGGAATTAAAGTTACCTGTGTGGATTTTTTTTTTGTGGCGTGTGTACGAGTATCGTTGACTTTCAGGGACCCTGGCTTTGCTTCGAGACCCTTTTTAGTCATTTAAGAAAATAATTTACTGCAGATTTTCCGCTCGGTTTGCGACGAGGTCAGGCGTGGAAGGAGTTGGTGACCCAATTTAAAGCGGACGACTGGTAACGAATATCCGCAGCCTTCATGATTTTCCGAAGTTGCATATTTAATTAAATTCAGATAATTTTTTCTTGGTACTTTTATTGCCTCCGATATTGCAAGATGAATTCGATTGCCAAATCATCTGCCGAGAGAAAAGTATCAATGAAGAACAATCTCTTCACAGCAAAGTTTCAGGTAACTGATGAGAAATGTGTTGCAATGAAAATATTTGCTTAACTGAACAACGTATCATGTCACATCAAAGTCATTGGGATTTATTGGAAAATACTTTTGCTATGATGAATATGTTTTGAAGTGCAATCATTTATAGCACAGTCCACTGCTAACAAACGCTAATCCAGCCAGAAAACATTGGTCTCCATAATTTCCACACAAAAAAATCTACATAATATGAAATCTAGCTGATGAACTTTTTAGCAAAAGAACATTTACCTGGAATGGATTCCAGTAGTTAGTCAAGAATCAACTGTATTCAGATGCAAGTACTGTACAACTTGTGGCTGGAATCCCAGTTTGGCAACTTTTTGAAGACCGTTTCCTCTCTACGGCTTGACAAAATGATCCAAAAATGAAATTTAATAATTCTATTTGAAGTGCATCAGGCAGATTGCAAAGGAAAAATCCTTCAATCAGATTCTTCAGTTGTTGATGAAAAAAATATCACAAAAAGCAAGACATTTCCTTGCAAGTACCGGTGGTACCTTGCAATTTGACCTCTTGCACAATTTGACCATCCCTCAATTTGATGGTCAAATTTGCTGGGAGGTTGATTTGCAATTTGACCTAGGCCCTGCAATTTTACCCACAGAGATGGGCAAAAATGCCAAATGCAATGTGGAAAATATTTCATTTGACATTGCTTTGCAATTTGACTGCTTTGAAATTTGACTCAAGTCCAGCAATGGATTATGGCTGAATTGCAAGGTACCACCTGTACACAGATGCATTTCAATTTATTTTATTCCAGATTTGCAGGTTGGCAGGTGTTGGTGACTGAAGTCACTGCAACAAGAAAAAGCTTAGACTGTAAAGAAAAAGATTAATTGATAAAAACGATTTCAAGAAAAACACAGAATCAGCCCGGGACTGGGGCCGGGAATTCACGGTGGAATCCCTATTTAAAGTTAAAGTATATTTCGAGAAGTCCCAAAATTTAGATAATGAACAAAACAGACAACACAGATTTTTGACGATTTTCGAACAAGATATTTTTCAGAAAAGACCTCTCAAAAAACCTCTGATCACGCTGCGGCGGCAACAAAACGAGAACTGTGTGATTTTTATGAAATCAAGGGGTATTTATTGATTTCTTTTCCTGCTCTTGATCAAGGAGGTTTGATCAAGGGCAGGGAAATCTTGAAGGCCTGGGATTGGCCAACAAATTGGTAATCGAAGACGTCATAGATAATGAACAAAACAGACAACACAGATTTTTGACGATTTTCGAACAAGATATTTTTCAGAAAAGACCTCTCAAAAAACCTCTGATCACGCTGCGGCGGCAACAAAACGAGAACTGTGTACTTTTGATGAAAGCAAGGGGTATTTATTGATTTCTTTCCCTGCTCTTGATCAAGGGGGTTTGATCAAGGGCAGGGAAATCCTGAAGGCCTGGGATTGGCCGACAAATCGGTAATCAAAGACGTCTTGGCGCCAAGACAGACGTCTTGGCGCCAAGAAAGTTTAAGTTTTTCTTGGGGATGGGAAACCGTTGACGGATTTTGTCCGTTTTTTACGCGCGGGTGGTTTTCCACCCGATTAGATATTTTTAATTGATTTTTTATTCGGGGTGCGCCGCGAGTCCCCAACAGTATCTTTTCCAACCTGTTTTGAAGTAAGAAGAGTTTACTCAAAGCTTTGAACACTTTCTACATTTTTCAGAAGTTCAGGAGAACTCTTTGAGGAGTTGTTTTACACTCAAATTATTCAAATAATGCTTCCAATGCAGTGCACAACACAGCACTAGCATTGAGGAAAAGTCCATGCGGTCAGTTCTTAAAATACTTGCAGGGAGCTCATACTCATAGGTTTGATCATATTGAGATCATGATGAGTGACTTGGCATGTACTAATACAAATTCTTGGTGACATATAGGTTGCCAAATACAAGACTAGAATGAAGGGCATTTCTATACTCAACTCTGTTTCTAGCCAGAATAACCTGTTAAGGACAAAGGTTGCCACAACACAATTACTAAAATCTGTGAAGAAAGTTAGAAATTCAAGAATGAAACACAGAATCAGCCCGGGACAGGGGCCAGGAATTCTCGGTAGAATTCCTCAAGTTAATTTAAGGTATATTTCAAGAGTCCCAAGTTAGAAACAATAAAGAAAAAATCACAAGATATTTTTGTAAGTTTTCAAACAATATCAAACAATCAACCTCTTGCAAAAACCTCCAAAATGCACTGCCAGGCAGCAAAAAACAGACTGATGATGAAAAAGGGGTTTTGATAGTCTTTTATTATTTTGGAGATGTCTCCTCAATCCAGGATGTGGATCAAGGACAAGGGTTGGCGCCAAGGCGTCTGATTGGCTCAACAAAGTTGAGTCAAAGACATCTTGGCGTCAAGAATTTTGATTTTTTGGAGGGGGTGGATGCTGGAGTGAAAATCCGTTGAGGGATGCTCTACTTTTTCCTCTTGAGTGGTTTTTTCCACTCAATTAATATCATTATAATCTTTTACTTCTTGAGGGAGGCGCAGCGGGTCCCCAACATAACCTGTTCAGGAATGGTTGAGAGCAAGTACACATCAAGTGCTTTTCAACAAGCTACTTCACAGTATAGTCATACCATATGACTACAAGTTCATAAATAATTCAACCATTGACCAGCTTATTCACATATTATGTGAATCAATGTTGAAGATGAGTAATAACTCCAGGATTAATTCTATTGTTTATATAAGATATATGAGTGCATTTAATTTTAAACAAGGGCTGAAAAAATCTCAATTTTTTTTCTTTCAAAGGTTCTGCTGTGAATGTGTATGAAATCTTTTTGAGCACAGGAGTCCAAAAAAAGGCGAAACATATTTCGGTGGATAATAAGTCACCAGTTTATTGCCCATTTCACTAAATCAGGAGTTCAAATCCACAGTTTTCATGACTGGACTATCCATTTTCTGTGTTTTTCCCAGATAAACTTCCTTTACGCAACAAATTCAAGGCAAAATAAAAACAAATCTTGCTTACTCGAAAGCGCGGTAATTTTTTTTTGTGGCAGAAAGTGGATCCTCTGAGAAAATGAAAAAAAATCGATCGATTATTTAAACCTTCCGATAAAATCATCCCAAAAACATTTGTAAATCATGGAAGATTTTTGTAACTATTCAAGTGATTCGATTATATACCCACAGTTTTTGAATAGATTTTTTTTTCTTACGAGAACTCGAAATAAGAATCACAAGAAGTATACATCGACAAAACCGATAGTAAGGAAGCCTATATGCATATTCAACTCAAATCGAGTTCCGAAATTGCCTTGGCCACTGCCGAAAGAAGCTGATCTTTAAACGACCACAGCGATAAATCTCGGATTGTAGTTTTGTTTTTCGGGTCGTGCTGATGATATTTCATCTGAAGTTGAGAAACTGCCCTATAATGATGACAAGATGCAATTTCTGTTGGCACCTGGAGCATTGAGCATGGAGACTCATCCAGACATGTGTAGACCAAATGAAGATTGCAACTGAGAGCAACTGACGCATTGTAAAAGCCTTTGACCGTATTTGGCAACCTTTTGGCAAATGGAAGTCGGTGAACGGTATTCAGCTTTGTCAGATATTCCGGCCATTCAGGCTTATTCCAGTCATCAGCAGGTGATTTTGGGAAGTTTGTGGGAT